ACGCCTACAAAAACATAGAAATTAGGAGCTCGTCAAGTGGCGCGAGCTACCTTGAACCGGTTTAATTTTTTCTGTGTCGCCGATAAAATGTTGCCCAATTCGTGTAGGCCGCCGGACATATTCCGAAAGTCCTCGCCCTCTCTTTCGACATCCTGATGGTAAAAGGCGAGCACTCAAATTATAAAATCAATCGGCGGCTCACCTTCAGATTTTCGACGTCGACCTCCTCCTGTTCGACGTGCTCCGCCTCCTGGCGCTTCTTCTGGTTGCTGAGGAAGTCGTCAAGACTTGGCCTTTCGACGCCGAGAAGTTCAGCTCTCATACACTGATATTCGTAACTGTTCTCGTCCATTCTAACTATGTTGGACTAACTAATAGCGAGACTGTAGGTATTGATTTTCTAACAGCGACAGAGCGAGAGAGAAATTCGTTGTGCGCTTATTGAGTAGCGCATTTTGTGCGTTTTTTTTGCTTGCGGCATCTGTATAAAATAAATAAAGGGACGGACTGTATTTAAACCCAAAAATCAAATCTTACTGAGTACGTAATAGACACGTTTAAAAGACAGTTAATTTCCACAGAAACAAATGTAATCACATCGATGGTTATCTACCAGTTACGATAACGATAAGTTAGATTGGCAGAATCAATTATTGATGATTACATTTCTAGCTTCTACTGGCTTAAAAATACATTGAAGTATTTTGTGCTCCTGATTTCAAAATCCATTCACATTTATTTCCGCGTGTTCAAAATGTCCACTACTGTTCGACTTTATCGTAATAGTTTCCTATTCGCCACTTATCGTTTGAATTGAAATCACCTGACTTAGATTTACGTCTAAGATTTTACATGTACTGTTCTGAGACTAAGGTCACATGCAATTTCTTCCTTGCATTGACAGTCACCAAAACGCTTTGATGGCGCGCTGCTCCCCGGGAATTTTTTAACACAAGTATTCACCTACGTCCTCTGTGGTTATGGGTTGATTGACGGCTCGACGCAAACACTAACGGCTCTTGACGCGAATTGTCCCACGATTCTCTTCCAACAACCAAATTCCTACTACTCTTTCTTTTTAATTCGCACCCATTCCATTATAATTTCTTTTTTTTTCTAAAGCCGGATTTAGCATGGAGCAATGTGGGTCCGGGCCCATAGCCGCAAATTTTTAGGGATGGCGAAAGAACCAGATTTGGGAAATAATTCTACAGTGCAAAAATCTTAAAAAATTGAAGTTGGAATGTTATCCACACTCTTACCAACTTAAAAGTAATCATGAAATATAGATAGAGTAACGTAACCTCACATTTCGACGAAATTATGAGAACTTTGTATTAAGAATCTGACCAGTCAGTGAAATATTTCGAAGTCATTATAGACTCCCACCTGGCCTGGAAAGCGCACATTGAGCGAATAAGCAAAAATACCATGCATTTTTATGGGCACGTAGAAGGGCTTTTGGCTGTACATGGGGCTTGTCTTCTCGACTGGTATATTGACTTGGTGATAGGACTAATGACTAATAACACTGTATGGTGCACATGTATGGTAGCCTGCCATGTGCAGGGCAAAGTACAGAGACCAACTGTTTGGGAGTCACTGGAGCCATGAAATCCACGCCAACTTTGGCCATGGAGGCAGAGACTTCCATACGGCTAAACGATTGGGACGAGTAGAAGGATCGGAGCAGTCTCGGGCACAAGCCTACCCACATTACGTCCAGAATTTCCTGCGAATTATCAAAATTTCCCGAACATTGTCAAAATTCCCAAAATTTCATGAACATTTCCAAAATTCCCAAACTATCTCACACACATGTACTTCCAAAATTTCCAGAGAATTTTTAAAATTCCCTGCACATTTTCAATTCCTAAAATGTCCTGCATCCATACCTTCAAAATGTCCTGACCATTTTCAAAATGTCCAAAATTGCGTACACACATACTACCAAAACTTCTTTCACATTTTCAAAATTCCCAAAATGTTCTACATATACTTCCAAAAATTTCCAGCGAATTTTCAAAATTACCTGCACATTTTTAAAATTCCCAAAATGTCCCACGCACATTTACTTCCAAAACTACCAGCAAATTTTCAAAATTTCCAGTAAATTTTCAAAAATTCCAGCAAATTTTCAAAATTTTCAGCGAATTTTCAAAATTTTCTGCACATCTTCAGAATTTCCAAAATCGCCTACACACATACGTCAAAACCTTCCTGGACATTTTCAAAATTCCTAAAATGTCCTGCATGTAGACTTCCGAAATTTTCTACAGACTATCAAAATTTCCTGCACATTTTCAAAATTCCCAAAATGTTCTACATACATACTTCCAAAGTTCCTGCAGCTTTTTGACATTTCCTGAACATAATCAAAATTTCCAAAATTGCCTACACACATTACGTCCAGAATTTCCTGCGAATTATCAAAATTTCCTGAGCATTTGCAAAATTTCCTACAGATTTCCAAAATTTCCAAAATTGTTCACACAAATACGTCTAAACCTCCCTGCACATTTTCAAAATTCCCAAAATGTCTCACACACATGTACTTCCAAAATTTCCTTCGAATTTTGGAAATTTCCTGAACATTGTCAAAATTCCCAACCTTTTTTGCGAATTTTCAAAATTACCTGCCCATTTTCAAAATTCCCAAAATGTCTCACACATGTACTTCCAAAATTTCCTTCGAATTTTGGAAATTTCCTGAACATTGTCACAATTCCCAACCTTTTTTGCGAATTTTCAAAATTACCTGCCCATTT